TATAGAGATATAACTCATATACCATACAATTCACCCACGTAAAGTGTACAATTTAAGGGTTTTTAGTATATTCACAGAATTGTGCAACCATTACCACAATCAATTTTACAACACTTTCATTACTACAAAAAGAAACCCCATATTCATTAGCAGTCACACCCCAATTTCAGCCCTAGGAAAACAATATATACTTTTTTTTTTTTTTTTTGTCTCTATAGATTAGCCTACTCTGGACATTTCATGTAAATGGAACCATATAATATGTGACCTTTTGTGTCTGACTTCTTTCACTTAGCATGTTTACAAGATCAGCCATGCTGCAGCATGTATCAGTACTTCACTCCTTTTTACTGCCACATAAAAATCCATGGATATGCCACATTTTATTTATGCATTTAGTTGATAAACATTTCAGCTGTTTTGCTTTTGCCTATTTTAAATAATTCTACTATAAGCATTTGTGTACACACATTAAAAGGAGCATTTGGGGCCAGCCCGGTGGCACACTCGGTAGAGTGCAGCGCTTGGGAGCGCGGCGGTGCTCCCGCCGAGGGTTCGGATCCCATATAGAGACCGGTCCGCTCACTGGTTGAGGGCGGTGCGGGTGTGACACCGAGGGTTGCAATCCCGTTGCCGGTCGTGGTACAGGCACGACACTGAGGGTTGAGATCCCATTACCGGTCACGAAAAAAGACAAAAAGGAAAAAAAAAAAAAAAGGAGCATTTGTGTTTTTGCGTGAACATTCGTTTTTCTAACACCTGGTATACACCTAGGAGTGGAATTGCTGAGTTAAATGGTAATTCTTTGTTTAACCTTTTGATGAACTGCCAGACTCTTTCCCAAAGTGGTTGTACCATTTTACATTCCCACTAGCAGTGCGAGGGTTCCAAATTCTCCACATCTTTGCCAATACTTGATATTATCTGTCTTTTCTTTTATTACTGTAGCAATACTAATGGGTATGAAGTAGTATCTCATTGTGCTTTTGATTTGCATTTCCCTGTAAGATAATGATGTTGAGCACCTTTTCATGTACTTATTGGCCATTTGTATATTTTCTTTGGAGAAATATCTATTCATATCCTTCGCCCATTTTTAATTGGGTTATTTGTCATTTTATTATTGACTTGTAAGCATGGTTCATTTTAAAAGCTTTGTTATTTGGAAATAATTTCAGACTTTTAAAAAGTTGCAAAAATAGTATAAAGGACTCCTGTATACCTTTAACCCAGATTTCCTAAATGTTAACATTTTACTACACTTGCTTTATCATTCTATTTTTTTTCCCTGAAACATTAAAAGTAAACTGCAGATATGATGCCTCTTTACCTCTAAATACCTCCGTGTATTTCCAAAAACAAAGACATTCTCTTATATAACAACAGTTCACTGGTCAAAATTAGGAAATGATACAAAGTCAGTAATTAACCTGCAGAGCTTACTCAAGTTTCACCAACTCCTCCTTTCTCAGACTTAGGCTCTAAGCACCATTTTAACTTTTTCTTACCTTTCAGGCATTTGTACCTTTTTAAAAATGTTACTCCCAATTGCTATTACAGTGGTTCTCAAACTTGTCTGCACATTAGAATCACCTGGAGATCTTTTAAAAGTTACTAAGTCCAGACCTGAGGGACACTATTTTTGAAGATCCTCAGTGACTCCAATGTGCAGATTTGGGAGTTTTTAAACTTTGTGCTGTTATTAAAAGAATTCCACAAGCTGTGTTGCCCCTGAAATATTACTTGTAACACTGGCAGTAGGGGGAGATGTGGGGCAGATAATGATCTTCCTCAGAAAGGAAGAACTTTACAGGCTCTCTCTCAGTCTAGGCAAACCACACTCTCCTTGGAGGTTGTTCCCAAATAGTTCTTCCTAGAAGTAGCTAGGTTCAGCAGAGGCTAGGTCTGATATTTAGCCATCCCTTTATCATACCCTTCTTTCTTCAAAGCCTGGCACATGGCAGAAATTCAATAAATGTCAAGTGAATGAATGGATGTGATTGTGCTTTCATCAACCTGCCTTCTGAGGCCTCAAGAGCAGGGAGAAGCTATTAAGATGCTTTTTTGAAGAGTAGGTCGTTGTGCCAATGCAGGAGAGTTTAGCTTTGGAGCAATCAGATTTAAGATCTTTATCTTTCAGCGTGAACAGATAAGTGAAAAGCAGGGCATCTTCACATGGTATACTGTACACAAATACAGAGAGTCCTGCCTGTGTTAAATATCAAAAAACCTCTCACCCCTCCCCAGGCCCTCCTCTCCACAATCCCGCACAGTGGCCTGGGTCTGTTGGTGCCCAGCTGTTGAACGTTTTGACCATCTAAGCATCAAGAGGAGGAAACTCACACGCCTACTTCTGTGAGTGGTGAGGCTCCTGCAAACTGGTGCGCGCAGTCCCCTCCCCAAAAGGCACTGCTGCTCACATCATCCAGAAAGAAGCCCAGTTTGACAGGCCTTGTCATTATTCAAAAGAATCTAGAAACTCCTACATTATACAAAACCTCTCAATTTAGAAAGGTCACCTCAAATTTAAAAAGAAAAAAAGAGCCCTGTTTGGGCCAAACAAAACACAACTGTAGACTTTATCTGGGCACCCCCCGAATCTCTGCTATTGCTGCAGGGAGAATCCTTAAAAACAAAGGTCAGTCATAGTTACTGGAGAAGCAACACTTCTGGAAGAGAAAAACCACATGCTTTTTGGTGTTGTATAAAAGTAAAACTAATTGCAATAAATTGTACAATTTTCTGGCTTCCAATTCAAATTTAACTTTACAGACTTTTCCCTTAACTTCCTTGAATTTATTATACTTGATCTCTTTTCTCTAACACTGAAAATCTTGGCTCCTAACAACATTAGTGTAATTGCTTATTTTCTTTGACATACTTTACATAAAAGTTTCAAAATAACACTATGTATATTAACAATACATCTACTAAACAAAGGTTAAGAGATTTTTTGCAGGTTCATTTGTTCTTAGAATGTTTCACGGTGCAGGTATAGTTTGAACTGTACATTTTAGGAAAAGTTTGTGCTAAATGCTAAAAGCACCTATGTTGACGAGTGAAAACGTTCCCTCAAAATTGTTCTTCGTTGGTACTGGCAATGATAGCACACAGCACAAGGAAGGAAAGCACATTTTTGCAGGAATCTTGGAAGGCAATTTTGCTGTCTGTTCCCAGAGTTGGGAACAGCCCTGTGGGGAGAGGGGCCGAGTTATCCGAGGTTACTTAACTGCCCGTGCTAAACTCCGAAGAGAGTTTTTTTTAAAGATCTGCATGCCAATTTATCTCACCTCCCCTCTCCTTGAAAAAACCTGTAAATGTGTGTTTCCTGAAGCAAGGGTCCGGAGGTACAGACTCAGGTGATCGTCTGCGTCACCATGAAGCCGGGAGTGGATGGAATTGCTTACGAGGGGGATGGTAGCGTGAGTGGGTGCGGAACCCCAAGGAACACAGACATTCAGGGACAGGAGTCGGAAATCACAGAGCGGCAGGGGGAATAGGCACAAGCACCGATTAGCTTAGGAAGGGGGGAAAGATTTTAACACTTGGAGGAGAAACTGTGGTTCTCCCAGAGGAAGCTTCTGTCACCCAGAGGGTTGGGGCAGGGACTTTATTCATGGCTTTTACTGGCCAGGTCCAGGAATGCTCGGCACCGAGCAGATGACCCGCTCTGGGACCTGAGTTGTGCAAGGAAGCTGGGTCTGGAACTGGCTGAAAATCCCGAGCATGCGCCCCAGCCGGGGGCTGAGCATGCGTGAGTGACGGGCGGAGAACAAGGCAGCGCTGGCACCTGCGCCAGGATTTCCCGTGGGAGCCGCGCCTCCCGGCCCTTTCCCTTCGCGCTGCTCGGGTCGTGCGCGCGCCTTCCCTTCTGCCACCAGCGGCCAAGAAAGCCAGTCCCCGGGAGCTCGCCGCCCGCCGCCACTGCCCCGCCGCCGCCCACCCCCGACGCG